GCATTGTCTTTTCCAAGTCCAATTCAATGCCACATCTTCTACCTTCGTCCACAATTTCGACTAAGATGGATTGCGTGTTATGCTTGTTTTGGGATGCCAGAGCTGTGTCGTTTGCGTAGAGGATGTCGCGCGTCACCACGCAGGAGGGTTCCAGGGCCAGCTGGACGTCTATGAACACATCTTTTAGCATCGTTTGTAGCACTGCCATGAATAAGTATGGAGAGGGCGGACAGCCTTGTGGTATCCCCGCACGTTGTCGCCTTTCAGTCGAATCTCTGGTGTGGTTCACGATGGTGAGTATCTTGCAGCATAAGCTGATTGAAGTGCATCCACCATTTCCACTGGAAGCCCGAAGCGTCGCAGAGCTGTGCGCATGCCATCGGGCTCAATTTTCTTCAAGTGCTTCAATCCAGCCAAGCAGCGATGCAATCATCCCACCGTCATTGCTCTGATGTGCTGCGTCAAGCATGCGTCGAAGTAGCATCGGGGCGTCAGCAGTCCCCCCTGTCGGAAGAAATCCGTATTGCGATTCCCGCATGCGCGATGCACCTCCTCGGTCGGATTATCCGCGCGTGCTATAAGGGAGCCAGAATATTGCAGCCCGCCGCAAGCACCGATATAGGTTTCATAGTTTTCAGGTAATGCTGTATCGCCCTGTTTGAACAATAAAACAACGTTTGCATGCCTCCAGGCTTCTGGCATGGCTTTCTTTTCCCAGCACCGTTAACACGTATCAAGCAATATGTCGCAAACTGCGTTGCCCGCGGCAAGAATTTTCCAACAGTCTGGTAATATGTCGTCTGGTCCAGATGCCTTCGGGGTGCTATTTGCGTGCCAGCGGTTTCCATATTTAGTTTCCCATTGCTGTGCTTCAAACCTATCTGCCAATACATCTGCTCTGTCTGCTGTGTCAGATAGGACCCCATCTGGTCATCGAATAGCTGCGTGTGAAACATTGCGCGGCTTCTGTAAGCTGCCAGTGGAAACGAATTCATCGAACCAAATTGCGCGATCCTTCTTCCCAGAGTGCCGTATCAATTTGTTGACGCGACGCTCTTTCACACAAGCATTTCGCTCGCATATGAGATTGGTCGTCGCGCCGGCTTGGCACAGGTCGGAAGTACCCCAGCAACTTAAGCAAAAGCTCGGTGTACATTGTCAGCAGCTTCGTCCGGCGATGCTGGCGTAGGAAGAACCGCAGTTGCATCGACAAATTGCCGGACAAATTGCGCGTGCAATCGTGGATCCACCATAGAACTCCTGTCAATCCGCGGTTGGTGCACTTGTTGTTTGGCGTCAAATTTTACACCTGCTTCCAGTATGGTGAGAAAATGGTGGCTCTTAATGGCGACCTCCTGGCTTATCCAGCAGTTGCGGAAAACGTCCAGCTTTGTGCAATGACAAAAAACGTTATCGATTTGAGATAACTTCTCACACGTTATGTTGGCGTCCGTCGGTGCTGCCCCCAGGTCCCTGCATTTGACCTTCTCGTGGTCGGGATGACTGAAACATGTATTTGCAATGGCCAGATCATGTTCGACACATTGTTTCAATAATAATTCCGTTTGTGAGACAACCTGCTCCGCATTCCCACCTGGTTTGTGATCTTGAAGCGCGTGCGGTCCAATGTTTGATTCTTCTCCAGCGCGGGAAGAACGCAATTTTGCGTTGAAGTCCCCCAGTATGAAAGTGGTGTTGTGCGATGTCGTGGCCCGAGTGTGCTCCCCCAAGTCGTTGAAGAATATTTGCCTTGCTTCGTAATCGTGTCCGGAATTCGGCGCGTGCGCGGTGGCCAATGTAAGCATGTTTTTTTTAGTTTGGCCCGCAAGGTTGCTATCCGTTCGCTGCAAGTTTTGACAGCAACGACTGCTGCAGAGAACTGCTTTGAAACAGTAAATCCAACTCTGGCGTACGAACGGCTGCCCAAATCCAGGCTCCCAAACAAGAGAGTTTTGAAGCCCTGTTGGGTGTAGTGTTCTTGTCCGTGCACATGTGTTTCTGGTATGCGCAATCTACCAATGTTATGTTTCGTCGTCGCGCGTGTCAGTTCATGTACTTGGATAGTCGAATCTCCACGTGGGTCTTGTGTGTTCCAAGTGCGAAATATTCGCAGCAGGCCTGGCGTGCGCCGCCTCCGTGGCGTGCTGGACGTCGAACGCGTTGAAGACACAGGAGGGGCGGTAGGGGATGACGACACATAGATAGAAGAAACAACGTGAAATTGATCCAACAACTCTGCAGCAGTGCCACGCGCAAGTTCTGTAGCTTTGCCCATGCCGTGCGCGATGCTAGGGAGGGAACGGTGAGGGGGTGGTGGTGGTAGAACCCGTACGCGAAGATGTGGTAGATCCCGCAAGTTGTGGGCGTTCGGCAGCCCTCCATGCGCGCCAGGAAGTCCGCGCCCGGGAATAGTAGTTTTGCCCAACTCCGCAATATGAGCACCCGTTTCTCCGCGCGATTGGTGAAACATACCGTGCCGCATCTCATCGCCGTGGGTGGCATCGACTTCGTGGCGAATGTCAGAACATGTGTAGGTAGCAGCAGACGTGCCAGGTGAAACAGCGTCGCCGTGGGGCGCTCCACCAAGAGCACTTCCCGCGCAGGAAAAGGATGGATCTATAATCGAACTTTATGCAGAAATGGAAGAGGACGTCGTGGTAGCTTTGCCCAGCGAGCGTCCAACGCCAGCCAGAATTCGTCCTGGGATGCTGCCAGGAAGAGTGCGTTTGCTCATTTCGGGAGTGGATCCTCGGTCAGTGAGCGAATGTAGAGCAGAGGAGGATGCATGTGGAGATGAAGATGATAGAGGTAGGTCGGGGCGCGATTTTCCTGGAGAGCTGGATGGTGTACGCTGAGCGGACAAGATCCTGCGGTAGCTTTGCCCTGGGTACCCACTGTCAAAAAAATGGTGTACAGCAAAGCTGCCAAGTTTACCGCACTGGTGGCAGAGATACGTGTAGAAGTAGAATCGTCCAGCGTTTGCCATGCATCCCACTTCCGGGCGCCTTCGGATGCGCCCGCCTTTCGCTCCGCCCTTCACCCCCTGGGTGCTTCTTTTCATACAGCCCTCGCATGCTGGAACTAGCTTTTGGAATCAGGTGTGAATGCAATTTCGGCAATTTATCCCAGTAGTTAGCCCAGTCCGCGCAATGCGGTCTCCATCTAATGTTGATGTGAAGGCGAGCTTCCCACCAACTTCAACTGAATTTGGGTTTCATGGTGATTTTGTATGTTGTACGCCATTTCCAGTTCGGTGTTCAAGTAATGTCTTAACCCGAAGCAACAATTACGAGCTGCCCGAGCCAATGTAGGGAAGTCTGGCGAAGTCCAGACATATTTTTCATTCCATTTCAGCTTGGCACTCCGAGGTTGGGCAACTGCTGTGTCTCGCTTGTCGGTGTTCATTGACTCGCAGAAGGTGATGTTCTGGAATGTACCCTCACAAGATAGATTTGTCCACGCTGGCGCCCCCGATCGTTTAAGTTCATATTCGAACCATCCGGAGGCTTTTTCCAGATATGCAAACCCATCCAGACTGCCCACTACAGCAGTAATGCTTCCCTTGTCGTTCACGTTGGTCCTTGGTGAACCTGGGCATCCTGTCTGGGATATACCAGAGAGCGAGCGCGGAGTAGTCCTCCCAAAGATGTCGATTTCGCTCTTGAGATGTTCGAACTTCTCGTTCACGTCGTTCTCCAAATTCGAAATCCGGATTTTCACGTTTCCGACTTCGTCTTGAAATTTTGCCAGATGTGTTTCCAAAGGCGCTGTCACGTTTTCGAAATCTTGGCGTGATGCTCCGTGCTGCTTGACGAGGGCGATCTTATCCATGATGGGGCGGAGATGGTCAGCGATGGGCGCTCCAATGGCGTCCGAAGTAAACAGCTGTCCTGGCACAGCTGCGCCTCTTCGCGTATAAGATTTGAGCAGGGGTTTTTTGAAGGTGGCTTTAAAAAAAACGGTTTTTTGAAGGCAGATCTGCCTTCAAAAAACCGTTCTTACAGAGTAGACCAATTTTTTGAAGGCAGATTTGCCTTCAAAAAACCGTTCTTACAGAGTAGACCAGTTTTTTGAAGGCAGATCGGCCTTCAAAAAACCGTTCTTACAGCATATAAGATTGAGCAGGGGGTACTTGAAGGTGGCTTGTTGGTGCTGCTCCTGGCGATTCGCCTGAAGTGCGGTCGTCGTCCAAGACGTCCATCTCCTGTCGTGTGCTGTGGATCCGGTGGTGCTTAGCAGGAGGTGAAGCAACTTGTTGAGAAGTGTCCTTGAACAATTGCCTGACCGGGGTACCTGGCACGCGTGAGTCGCTTCCAACGCCTGCAGACATCGGTATGAGATCAAACTGTAGGGGCAGGGGGGAAATGCAATAGGAGTATGGAGTGAAACGCTTGAGCCACGCCCTTGAGCCAGGGGCTCCCAACAATTGTCTTGGGAACCTCCGTGAGTCCGTGGAGGGCACGCGGCGGAGAACGCGGGACCTTCGCCAATTTTTTTCCAAGGTTCCAGGGAGGCTTGAATTTTACTTGGAAGAGTTTGAAGTTGCCACCGCCCACACAGCTACTGAAATACTCTAGTCTCTCCCGGAGGTCTCCTGGTGTCTTCTAGGGTTGCAGGGCCTTCCGACAGCACTGGACGGTTTCAGGGAGTGCCCGAACGGATTCTTTTTGGACTAGTGTTTCCTATGGTTCAGCTGCTTGAATCATTTACAAGGGGACACAGTTTTTTCAACACTAGCCTTGCAAATTATATTATGTTGCTGGCTCGCGGGTTGGAGTTACGCACCCAGCTTCTGAGAGGAATCGGGACGAGAGGGTGTACTTATCATCATCCTTGCCGAATCTTGGGCTCATTCTGGTTCAGGTCCTCTTCTCCCCCCTCCCCCTCTTCCTCCCCGTCCCCCCTCCTCCCTTCCCCGGTGTCCGCGGCCCTCTGCTGCTCGAGCTTCCAAGGGGTGTTTCATCGAGCCGACCTGTGCCCCCGCTGGGCCGGCCGCGCAGGACGTCGGAGGGGTCGGGGGTTGCCAGAAGTTCAAGCAGTGGCGAAGCGTCTTGGCACGCCTATAGCCCTACCAAAGAATGTTCAAAGAACCTTCAGTGGTTTCCGCGAAAAGTTCTTAGAACATTAGCGGCTGGGATTGTCCTGTTTTAACACATCGGGTTTATGATCTAAGAACATTGTTTTGTTATTCGAACATTTTTTAGGTTATAGGAACATTTCCTGGTAGGCCTATAGGAATGCCGGGACGGTCGGTCCCTGTTCAAGAAGTGCCCCTGGCCCAGTGTGCCCCCGGGATCCTCTGGGCGGCCCTCACGGCCTCCAGAGCCTCCGCAGGGCGTCGCGTGGGGCCCGGCGGTGAGAGCGGGCGGCGCACAGAGGCCGGCAGCCATTCCCGGGCGCCGTCTCTGCGTTTTTGTGTTGTATGTATATATAATATGTATATAAATAAAACGGGGACTCGCCGTCCTCAGGACCGCCTCGCGTCGTGATCGATGTTTTCGGCCTCCGGGGGCCCTCGCCGGGCCTCGGGAGCGTCAACAAAACGACTCGGGGTGAAAAGCGGGTCCCGTGGGAACGGGTTGATGCTTCGGGGGGTCGACGCTGAAATACGAACAAAATCATGGCGTCGGGGGTCCGGGTCTGTGTCGCCTCGGGCGTTGCCCATTTGCGACGAGCGTTGCCCGCCCAGCAGCGAACGCCGTTGGTGTCGGAAAGCATCAGCACTCGCTGCTGGACATCGCACTCGTTTCCCCAACTGGCGGCGTGCCAAGAGATCTTGGTGGAGTACCAGCTATCCGCCAGGCCATGGCGCAGAGGAGAAAGTCCCACCAGAGAAGACCAAATGCTGGTGCTCGATGGTCAACTTTAGGGGCAGCGTGCTGGTGGCGGACGAGAACAGGGGATGACGACTGTGATGTTGACTCTTTGTGTTCTCCACTATCTGCCCTCTACTCGCTGCTTTGTCCAGCTGCTTGCGGCACGTCCCCACTCCGTGCCGTCGCAACACAACGCAGAGTGCCCTTGAGTGTGACACTTTTCGTCCATGGGGAGAGCTGCAACATGTAACATGCTCGTTCGCGTCGTATTTGTGTGTGTTTCCTCGTCGTCGTCGTGTTTCGTTGTTACTTTTGATTGGTAACTTACAGTGGAAGGCCTTAACGTGTGACTCATCTTGTCTCCATTCCTTGAGGGTCTCTTCAGGCGGCCCAAGCCTTCTTGGAGCTCCACTAGTTTTGGGGTCTTCCTGTTGTACTGTCCGGGAGCCTTCTTGGGCCGTGGGCCTCTCTTGGCCGTCCAGGGAGTGCCTGGCGGCTGTTTTGGGAGCCTCGTTGGGCCCTCCTGGGTCATCGCGTGACCCTCTTGGACTGTGTTGGGTCTCTCTTGTGCCAGCTTTGGGCATGATTGGGATGTCCGAGGCTGTAAGGGGGGATCTTGGCAGTCTCAAGAGGCTAGTTTAGGCTTCCCTTGACTCTTCCCAGGTCATCTTGGAACCATATTGAGCCGAGATCCCAGAGAGACTCAACACATTCAACAACAAGCTGATCTCCTT